CAGAAGGCTCTTATTTTTGAGGTTTAGCATGACTCCATACCTTAAAAAAAAATGCCACTTTGTAATTTTTTGAATCAACGCCAGGATAAGACCTATTGTCATAAATAGCATTCCAAATGTCTTCACCACCGGGAAACAGAAATTCAAACCATAGTGTGTGAAAATGGCAAGACTTCCTTCCTGCTCTTTTAGCATTTATGGTATAGTACTAAACCACTAATTGCGGTATAGCCCAATGTCAGACAGGAGATCTCACTGCCTCTGATACTGCAGTTGTAATCCAGCTACCACATAAATATATGGTATCTAATTCATTTCTAATTCCAGTGTTTAATCATGGTATAATAAATTTGTGAATCACAGTATAATAACAAATGACTGTTACATAGTTACATAGTATTTGAGGTTGAATAAAGACATTAGTCCATCAAGTCCAACCTATTAGGATCTCATTCTAGGAGTACCCGTACCCCTGTATATTACGGTCCCTTAAGAAATCGTCCAAAAGTTTCTTGAACAATTCCACATTCTTTGCTGAAATCACTGTCTGTGGCAGTGAGTTCCAGACCCTAACTGATCTTACTGTGAAGAACCCCCTTCGCCCCTTGTGCTGGAATTTTTTTTCCACCAATTTTAGGTGGTGGCCTCTAGTTTTTGTAATGGAGTTAATTTTAAACAGTTTATCGCTAATGTTGCTGCCACCATTGAACATTTTGTACATGGAGATCATATCCCCCCTTAATCTCCTCACCTCCAATGTGAACATGTTTAAATTTAGTAGCCTTGTCTCGTAGCTCTGGTCCTCCATACCCCTAATTAGTTTGGTTGCCCTCCGCTGGACTTTTTCCAACTCAAGGACATCTTTTCTTAGTACTGGTGACCAGAACTGGACCGCGTACTCCAGATGAGGTCGAACCAATGATCTATAAAGTGGCAAAATTATAGACTTGTCCCTGCAATACATCCCCTTTTTAATACAGGACAAGACTGTTAATTATGTATAGGTTTAGTATAGGTTCAAATGACCCATTAAATTATATTTGACCTCTGAGAATCATAGTTATCAGTTCTGTATACTGGTAAAGGATAGTTCATTCCAATAATAAAACTTTAGTCCCATCTCCAGCTTCTTTTTCAGTTTTTGATATAGAGCAGGAATGGGTTAGAAGTAACTTCTGTCAGTTTTTTTTTATTTATTGTTCTCTACCGTGTTTCCCCCCAAAAAAGACCTAGTACTATTTTTGGGAATTGCTAAAATATAAGACCTAACCCATAAATAAGACCTAGTTGTGACCATTCCCAGGGCCGGGGGTGGCATAAGGGGGAACTTGAAGAGCCGCCGGAGAGGCAGGAGAGAATCAGCGGTGCCAACGTAGCCAGTGCTAGAGGAAGCGAGGCGGCAGCGGAGGGAGCAGAGTCACATAAGCCGATGCTTCCTCTATAGTGCCGGCTCCTGTCACAGGCGGAGTGATACCAAATGCACTGCGCCTGTGAGGAATCGATAGTGAAAGTGCGCTTCACTCATTCTGGACAGCGATTGGTTACCAAATTGCTCTTGGAAAGGTACGGCACCCCTGATTGCTCTGATCACCATATTCTTAATTTTGCCATTTTGGATTATTTAATTTGGATTTTTGTACATTAAAAAAAAATAAGACCTAGTGTGTTTTTTTGAGCCAAAAATATATATAAGCCAGTGTCTTATTTTCAGGGAAACACGGTATGTTCCAATTAATGTGCCCTCAGGATCTGCCCTCAATGTCGTGGACATAAGTGATCGGAATTTCCCTAAAATTAATGAAAATCCCATCTTTACAAACTGTTCATCTTCTGCAATATTCCCAACTAGTCAATATCCTTTTCCTCCCCAACAGAGGACAGTTTGGTGTTTGTATAAGGGGAGAATCCTGGTCTGAAATTAGTTACTGGCCATTCAGGTTTCTTGATCTGCTTTGCAATGTTGACCAGCCTGTTTTTCTGAATGTCTAGATGTCAAACCAATTTTTACTTGCTCCTTTTAGTGACCAAAGCCCTACTATGACCACATTAACTACCTCCACCTCTAGTATGGGTTTTTTTTTTAACCCCTGAAAATACAGAATTTGCAAATGCCGGTGTGCTTATTTCTTTCATTAGGGTAATATAGGGCAGGATCTAAGAATATCTTCAGTTGTGCAGCACTCTAAAGATCTTGCTTTTCGGCCCCGCTGGCTGTCAAAATACCTGATTTTGAGAGCCAGCGGGGCCGACTAGCAAGATACTGAAGCTTGGCCCAGTGGGAGATTCCTCCAGCCACACAGTTTAGCGTAGATGGAGGAATCTGTTGCACTTTTTCCATCTGACCATAGAAAATCTGCAGATAATCTTAGTATATAGCCAGCTTTAGCCTGTATATTTCATATTATCTGTGCTATACATTTAACCAGTTTTCCTGACTATCAGCAATGAATGTAAGTGGCTAGGTTTTAGCTACCATGGGGAACAGAGCATAGCAATTTCTCTAGGCTCATAAGCACTCCTGGATGCACTATTTGTGGAAACTGTGCAGCTGCACAAGAGTTGTTTCTAGGCCACATTCCCACTTGTGAATGAGGCCGACTGCACGAGTCTCAAAAATTGTTCTGTGAGACTCATTTTGGTGAGGGGGAGAGAAGCCGCCCACAGGACGAGCTGTGACGGCCGCACGGCGCCCTTGTTGCCATGGCGCCCTGTGCGGCCGCACGGCTCGCACACCCCTAAGGCCGGCCCTGTTTGGACAGCTGCGGGTGGGAGGCACTGCTCAAAGGAATAACAGCCACACGCATCTGCGGAAGTTTGCATGTAATTACACATACTGCGATTACCTGCGAACGGTCACCCCTGCATTGGCAGATAGTCTGTGTTCTTGGTTGTGTGCCTGTATGTATGAACATGTTTCATGCATCGGAGACACAGTGGGGAGAACGAGTCGCATTGGAGACACAGCGGGGGGAACAGAGAAGTATCTGAGGCACAGCGGGGAGAACGGGGAGAAACGGAGGTGCAGCGGGGGGCACAATCAACTAATCCCAGAATCAACTAATTGATAATAAAAATAGTTGACAACGATTCTAATTATCGATTATCATTGATTTGATCGATTAGTTGTTGCAGCCCTAATATGTAAGAACATGGCAGTCCAATAATCCTGCATTGAAACTAAAGTCCCCAAGCTGGTTCCAACTGTTGCAGAGATTCATTGCTGATCAGTGCATATAACTGAAGATGAAAGGAGGGCAGACGGATTTAGCTCCAAAAGAGGGACAACCCCTTATAGTAAGAGACAGCTGGAAGTTATGACAATATACAGACAAGTAAATAGTTGCAATACATGGGCAACAATCAGTCAATTGTTGCAACATGCGGGCAATTGTGACAATACACAGGCAACAAATGGGCAATGACAAAGATATTGACTATAACTGAGGCCCAGTCTGCTCCCCATTTTTCATACCTTTACTTCAGGTCTCTTAAGACGTTGCTGGCAGGGATCTGCTTGCATCTTCTTCCGGCTCCTGCCTAACTGGAGTGCCACTGACATTAGTACTTCATTCAGCCTAACAGCAGCAAGACAGGCGGGTGCTCCGGACACCTGATAATGAATTAAAAGTATCATTAAATGGGGGGGCGTGGCCGAGATGTGATCTTAATACTCCAATCCCCAACACTTGTAGAGTATGTATACTGTGCCTGATAGACGACATTGTACCATCCGTAGCATTACATACTCTGCTGATATTCTTCTTATTCCATGCCAGGAAACTCCTGGTCCTCAACTGGAGGAAGGCAGAATCAATTTGGTGTCTTGTTGTGTACCCGTAATATGCAAAATGAATAAAAAGATTTTTCAAAAAAAAAAAAAAGTATCATTAAATGAAATGATTAGCTGGAGTTACTATTCACTGTGTTGTGCTTTCATGTGCAGTTGGATGATGTAGGCCAGGTTAACACTATAACATTGTAGTATGGTCCAGGGGGCCCATTTTGAATGGCATTTCAAAGCACGTAGAGGTAACACCCCTGCACTCTGTGTGTTTTGCATTTCCAAAAAATGCCGGGTGCAGTTTGAGCCATGCTGGGGTGTGTTGGCAGCCGATTTAAAATAGATGAACTACCTTAAAGTGCAACTGAGAGGCCACTATATATAAACATGTTTGGATAGAATGGAGAAGGATTATAACACCCATTAGGTATTTATTGCTGTCTGTGTCTCCGTTAGGGAGATTCACCCACTCTATTTGTTCTGGTCACCACTAAAAGAAAATCCCAGAGTTTGAGTTGTCACAAGAACAGGAATACATGGGAAATCTTCCAATGGGAACAATAGTTTTGGTGACCCTGCTTACCATAAGGAATTTCCCACTCTTTGGAGGGGTTTCCTCTCACTTCCTTTTGTGGCTGGCAGACAGGAAGTGAAGGGAGATCTCTCCAAAAGGAGAAAAAGTTGTAAAGGGTTATAACCCTCCCTTACTCCATCCATTGCTAAAAACAGTTTTGGCTTCAGATCTACTTTAATGCAGGGTTCGAAGTCTTGTACCACCCATGCGCAGACATGAATTATTATCCAATATATCCCGCAGGAACCTCCGTTCATCAGAGAAATTAGATTGGCAGCCAATGATGGCCTGCAAAGTCTGAGGAGTGCAAGCCTGAAGATTTCACATCAACAACGCTGACTGGTTGCCATGGGCGATAAGAAACTTCACCTATAGCACAGTTCTTATACATCATGGTCATTTAATGTCCATAACACAACACTGTACACTGTCTGTCTTTTTAAACATTTCAAATATTCTTTGTAAAATAAAAATACAAGCTTTCATTCTTTATACCTATATTTGGTTCTTGTTCAGACTCTATATGAGCTGTAAATGCTCCAGCATCAGTTGTAATAGAAGAGAGGAGCGGGATCACACTGTGCAGGGCTGAGTGTAACACCAAAGGAGGGGAGGAACTAAGATTTCTCTGCCAGGTTCCCGGGGACAGAGTTCACAGTGTACCGGGCTGTGTGTGATGGGAAGAGATGGATGACCTGGGCTGTCCGAGGTGTAAGACCACCAAATACCGCAACCCGTCCCTGAAGCTGATGGTCAATGTGTGCGGACACACTCTGTAAGTGGAACAAGGATGTTTCTACTGACAACACTGTGTATAGGGGCCCCTAACATGCTGCACTGTGTATAGGGACTCCTGACAATGTTGCACTGTGTATAGGGACCCCCTGACAATGCTGCACTGTGTACACTGGCAATAGGGACCCCCTGACAATGCTGCACGGTGTACACTGTGTATTGTGACCCCTGACAATGCTGCACTGTGTACACTTGCAATAGGGACCCCTGACAATGCTGCACTGTGTACACTGTATATAGTAAACTCCTGACAATGCTGCACCATGCACTTTGTATAGGGACCCCTGACAAGCTGCACTGTGTATAGGGATTTCTGACAATGCTGCACTGTATAAACTAACTCCTGACAATGCTGCACGGTGTACACTGTGTATTGGGACCCCTGACAATGCTGCACTGTGTACACTTGCAATAGGGACCCCTGACAATGCTGCACTGTGTACACTGTATATAGTAAACTCCTCACAATGCTGCACCATGCACTTTGTATTGGGACCCCTGACAAACTGCAATGTGTATAGGGATTTCTGACAATGTTGCACTGTGTTCACTGTGTATAGGGACCCATGACAATGCTGCACTGTATAAACTAACTCCTGACAATGCTGCACTTTGTATTGGAAACCCCTGGAAATGCCGCACTGAGTATACTGGGTATAGGGACCCCTGGCACGGTACACTGTGTATACTGTGTACAAGTGCCCAGGGCATGCTGCAGTGTGTATAGGGGGCCCTTGACATGTTGCACTGTGTACACTATAGGGGCCCCATCTCGCATGCTGCAGGCCTTGCTGTGGGAATATGATGGCTGCCAATTACATATTTAAAAAGGGTAGCAAATGCAGTTTCCCACATCATTTATTTGAATTATTTCTGTTCTTATTTTTCACCTGAAGTCATGATATGTCAGGTGAATAGAGAAGAGGTATGAACAGAGTCTTGGTTGGCAGATCATATGCTCTAGGTGCACTGATGAGGGCTAACTGGTGTATAAAGTCAATCTGTCACCTAAACGACAGTTTAAATAAATTAGTTCCCTGTAAAAAAAGATAATTGATAATTACTCATTACTCAACCAGCACTTTCAAGAGGGTCAATCTCCTGCCCCCCCCTACTGCGCTCAATGGTTCCTCCCACCAACCTCTATGTCGCTACAGATCACAGTGGTGACATCGGGTGTCACTGTGGCACTCCAACTAATGCATTTTAGTTTTGGATAGTGTAGGGAAGGGTTAGAACCTCCCTCTGATGTGTATTGCTGGGAAGAGTGAGGTGGTCCAGATTAAGTCATGAACAGCATAGTGTAGGGGAGGCATGGTTCTAAGAAAGTAAAAACAGCACAGCCAAAATAGGCACCTTGTGCTAGTCCCATACATCATTCTAAACTATGTCATGTGAGCCTTTTGCTTACTTAGTTTACCCTTTAATATGCCAGACCTGCATGGAAATGGAATGATCTGACATTTTTTTTTTTTTTACTTTTCTGCGCAGCCCTAGGATCTATGTTACCACTTGTGTTAGGTAGAGCAGCTGGGACAGTTATTGATGTATCAGCATCTATTACTGATATCTTCCATTGGAACAATATAAAGTGATAGTAAAGTCGAAATGTTATTAAGCTATTTTAAATGCTGATTAAATCACTTACAATGGATGATGCTCCTTGATGTTTTCAAGTTTTAGCTTCCTGTAGAATCAGCTGGTCTCGTGAGCACTTGTCTTCATATCCTGTTTTAGGGTGGCTCCTTTCACTTGCAGGGTCCTATGGAGCCACCCTTGTATGTGCGAGTAAGCTGTAAGTGTCTCCACAAACACACAGCAAGGCGAACCACTCCCTTGCGCTCTGCTCCTCCCTTCTAGTAGATGGACGGCTGCTAGAGACTGCTCTAACCCTTGTGGTCTTCTACAGGACAGGAAGTTCAGGGAAACTGAGCTGAGAGAGTTGTAGCTGTTTAGAAACATGACTGTAATTGCTTAAGTGAAAATATAAAGAATTGCTTTGCTGATCAATGTATATTTGTTTGATTTGCACTCATTGTTGAAAAATAAATTGAGAGTTTAATACCGTTTTAAAGCCCAATTAAACTTTTGGTTTAAATCAGCTGAATATATTCCAGATGCATCCAAACAAAAGGTGTGCAAAGTCGTGGTTTTCTTCAAAAATAGCCACAGCCTGAGTTGAATAGCCTGTCCTCGTCCATAATGCTGCAGAGGAGGACCCTTGCTCTGTGTGGAAGTGGTGATATCTCTGCAGTGGTCCAATTCCCCCCCAACCACCATCCTGAGTCATACCTATATTCACTTTGAATACCCAATCATGTGTAGATGAAGTGTATATTCACTCATTTTATTGAGTTTCAGTAAATCGGCTCCAGGTGTCATGGAACTTTTTGATACCTGCTGGTAAATGTAAAATAACTGACTTTTTTTAATTGCTGGAAGATCTGTTTAGTTTATTTCAGTACAGAAAATTTATTAAATTGTGGTTTCTAATAATAACAATAATAATAACGATAATTAGGGATGCACCGATACCGAGTATTTGGGTGAGTACTCATACTCGCCCAAATGCTTCGATGTCTAGCACAATACCCGAACTTCCACTATCAGGAACCCGGGCAGCGAGTCATTACACGCTGGCCGGGAAGCTGGCTCCATGCTCCCTCGTCACTTGGTGAAGAGGGAGCATGGAAACTGCTTCCCGGCCAATCAGAAAACCGGGGAGCGTGTAATGACTCGCCATCTAGCTTCCTGATTGGTCAGGAAGCTGGACGGCATGTCATTACCCGCCCCCCTGGTGACGAGGGAGCATGGAGCCGGCTTCCTGGCCAATCAGGAAGCCAGGCGCCGTGTAATGACTTGCTGCCCGACTTCCTAATTGGTCGAAAATCTGGCCAATCAGGAAGCCAGGCGAAGAGTCATTACCCTCCTCCCGGCTTCCTGATTGGCCAGAAAGCTGGCTCCATGCCTCCTCATCACCTGGTGCCGAGGAAGCATGGAGACGGCTCCCTGCTAATCGGGAAGCCGGGTGGCGAGTCTTTACATGGCGCCCAGCTTCCCGGCTAATCAGGAATCCAGGTGGCGAGTAATTACATGCCGTCTGGCTTTCTTAATGGGACTTCCAGTATCAGTATTCGGTATCGGCGAGTATCGAAAAAAATATCGGTACTCAATACCGAAAAACCGGTATCGGTGCATTAATAATAATTATTATTAATGTTCCAATTGTATCAATTAAAATCTACTTGGCTTTGTTTCTTGTTGGATGATCTCAGTTATTACAATGTACTGTTATGGAATGCTTCTTTTAGTGGCCCAGTGTTGCCTAACCTATTTAAGTGGCTTTCAGTAAGGCCTTCTCTTATAAACTAGATTTACAGCCTGCAGTGGTTAGGAATTCCAGTGGGAGAATCTTGCTGCACATTTCACATTTACAAGTCAATAAAACCAAATCATGGGAAAGCAGAAAGTCACAGTAATGTAGAATTTTCTTGTTTCCGTCTGGGTTTTAAAAGCACCGGTGACCCGTGAAGCAAAATGGGCCGGTCACCAGAGATGCTGAGTCAGTCTATGTCCAGGCATTACCTACATTTTTTCCCCTCAAAATCTCCCTCTCCCCCCCCCCCCCCCCCCCCCCCCCCCCTTCTACATCCAGAATAGTTTTTTTCTATTTATTACCTTATTCCTGAAGTGAGAACTTTTATTACTCTCTGTGACATCATCACCAGGCATCTAAAATTCTTGCATGGACAGCTGCTGGGAGCGGAGTTCCTATTGGCATAAACTACATTTCCTAAGAGCCCTTTCCCACCATGCAGTGTGCAGACAGGCTTTTGGGAAAGAAGGCAGTTGTGCTGTTTTTTTCTGGGAAACAAATCAATGTATGCATGGGGAGTGGGACAGAGGAGGGGATAGCCAGAGCGTTGCAACCAAGCTAGAAGGCCTGACAACTAGGTCCCAACACGTGAAAGAACAGGTCCTGCATGATTTTTGTCAGTGTAGCTCAATGCAATGCACAGAGAATTTGCAACTCTGCGTCGCTGTGTGCTATAATGCAGGTGTGTTACAGTGCACTATAGATGGGCTTTAGGGTGCAATTACCTTTGAATGGCGCTGCACATCTACAGTTCATGGCGGTAATGCTCATTAAAATGGGAACAAACCTTAAAGGTAATATTCCAGTGTGTAGCTGCTGTGGGGAAAGGGGATTAGTGCAAAGTGGTTGCTGTATAAGAAGAAGAACCCAATGGTTGTGGGCCATGGGCAACTGCTCCAGATTCTGTCTGCCCCAGTTTTGATAAATTCCCCTCTAAATGCTTTGGGGGTTTTAGGTAATTTCAGGCCTAAAATGTGGACTATAGCGTGTGAAAAAAGGCACTGGCAGCGAAAGGGTTAAAGTGAATCTGTGTACAGGCCACCTTCTCCTGCAAGTGAACAGAGCAACGGGAGCAAAGGAAAAGTGAGTATGTTTTTCTGAAGATAAAGGAGAGATGGCTCTAAGCTTTCTGTACTCTAGAGAGTCTTCTGACTCCTCTTAATGTCTCATGCACCCATACTAAATTTAGACACAGAGGTCCATAGAAGGTCTGAAGAGGAAAAATAATAAGGAGAAAATGGACATTTTCAGAATTGGGGCCGTCTTTGGTACCCTGCTGCCCTGGGCACTGGGCCATAAGTGCCATTATGCGATATACAGCCCTGGCAGTCATTACATTGAAGCGCTATTGGTGTTTTTGTATACTGGCCTTTTCGTTATCATTATTGCTGCTTGCACTAGCTTAAAGATGGCAATCCAAATCCTAAATAATGTAACTACGCGTAATTTTAATTAGATTACATCGATTTCTCAATTAACTTCAAATTTCAGTTCCCCACATTACAGCCCAGGCCTTGTCAGATTTCATATTCCATTTGAAATGTCTGACTTAAATTGTATAATAATTAGTTTCTGTGCCTTGGCGAAACACTCTAATAATTCTT